GGTCCAGTCAGTAAAGTTCCCTTCGGGAATGCCGGGACACAAAGGGGTTAAAAGTATGTTGAGATATAATATATATAATATCAAATGTATGCAGCGTGATCAGGCGCGGACCACATCGGGAAACCCGCCCTGCAGCCATCGCTGGAGGTCATGTAGACAGGAAGTTGCTGCAAAGAGGCAGCAGGAGATCAGCAGCAGCACTGAACAAAGGATAACAAAATGTGGAAACGAGAATGTTATTAACAACATGGCGATTATTCATGATACACGGCGCCCGCGGCTCATCTAATGACGTAGAACCATACGGTCCCATTGGTACATTTTCATGCAGGAACGCCGTTGTGAATTCCTGCAGCTCTTTTACCCAAAGCAACTTCTTGCTTGGGGTTTGCTGGCCCTTTAAATGGCATTCATCCCCGCACAGCTGCTGGCCCTGCACGCCTGGCTGATACAATGTTTCTGTTTGAACAAAGTGATACTGTATCATGCAATCCTGGGCCAGGTAAGGGAGGAGCCTGGCCAGGTGCATTCTCCCAAGTGCTCAGTGCCGTGTTGACCAGGAAGAGGGGAGTCCTCCTCAGAGGATACATTGTAACACATGAGGGGTCCTGGCGGAGAGATGGTGGGGGTTATAGTACAGGCTGTGTGGTGAGTACAAAGAGCGTGTGATCTATATAAAGGGGAGATGTCATGGGGGACACCTGTTGTGGTGACAACCCAGGAAGAGATGCGTTCTATATCCTGCTGGGTCTACTGAATATAAAACAATCAGGCGATACAAAAGGGGTCTGAGCTATGTGTGGTGAGGACCCGATCACACTATACCATTGCGCTAAACGCATGAGGTCCGTGCTCACGCTGCATCGCCTTTCATCATGCATGATACCCCATAATGCATATTTATTATACTCTGCAGTACCAATTTGCACTATGACGTTGCACTAAAGGCGTGGGATCTGTGCGTTTAACTATTGCACGCAAGGTGCGCTACATTACCATCCATTCTTATTGGAACTGCAATGCACCTCCTGCTTGTCATGTGTTGTGGACGTATGTGTTCTCTATACTCTCTGCATTGCGCTAAAGGTGTGGGATCTGTGCGTTTAGTGCACGCTAGGTGCGCTGCATCGGCATTCATTCATTGGCAACCTTCCGGTCGTTGTGTGTTGTGGACATACATGTTCACTATACTCTCTGCATTGCGCTAAAAGTGCGCTAAAGGTGCAGGATTGTGCGTTTAGTGCACGCTAGGTGCGCTGCATTGCCATTCATTCATTGGCAACCTTTCCGGCTGTCATGCATTGTAGACATATACAGTATGTGTTCACTATACTCTCTGCAAGACCAGTCCACACTATAGCATTGAGTGCAACGCACGCTATTGCACTGCATTGCCATTCCTTTAAACCTACTAGGTGGGAGAGGTGTCACGTTGATATTCATTCTCAATGGCACCCCACCAGGCATGCGCTGTGCTGTAATGCATGGTACCGCAGTAGCGTGCATTGCAGTGAAAAAGATGCATGCTTTTTCCCCCCCCTTCACCATGCACTATTGGAATACTGTGTGCTGCAGTACAAGGCAAGCTGTGAGGTCAAAATAAATGGCATGCCAGAGCCATAATGAGGGGAATTTATCAATACTGGAGCAGACAGAAGGAGGGGCAATTGCCCATGGCAACCAATCAGCATCCACCTTTCATTTTCAAACCATAACTGAACAAACTGAAGAGAGAAGGGGGGGAATTTTGATAATTCCCCCCAAGGTGCTCTAAACATGACTTGTGTGTGAACAGGTCCTGCTGAGATATACCCACAATGCACCAGGAATGACCGGTAGAAGGTGATCAGAGAAACCAGCGACTGATGTTATCTATGGAGACTTCAGAGGAAAGGAGGAGCTGAGAGGAAGTGACCACAGTAAACACAATGTATGAAATGTATCCAGACAAAGATCTCCACTTCCTGTGCAGGACGTGTATACAGAATGTTTATCAAAGGACAATTCACAGAGACCCCGGACTGGGAGATGAGAGAGAGGAGGAGGTGGAGGGATCAGATCCTGAGATCCCCACAGGTGTGACCATCAGAGACCCGGAACTCCCTAATTATCAGATACATATTGATATATTCTGCAGATTATTCCCCCACTGACCCCTCTACAGATCTGCAGAGCATTGCTCTGTCCTATCTAATATGCTCAGAGGTGGGTTCCCCGTCACAGCGAGTGACATGTCTGCACGCTGGTTGCGAGGAGACGTGGGAGGGACAGACGGGGATTATCGTGGTCTTTGTTCTGGCGATCAGACGTTCCTTGTTATGAGGACAGGCGGGTCACACGAGTTGGCTCTCTACACTCATATGTGATGTAGACTGGAAGAGGAAATAAAAGACAGAATATGATGTCGCACATAGTATGAGAGAAAAATAATCTGATCCTTTTCATTGCATTCCGACTCTCGGCGTGTGCTGGTTATAATATCCAAATCGTTACATGAGAACCTACAACAAGCTGAACCCACAGATATCTATTTCATCCAATCAAAGGATCCAATTCCATCAGATCAACATTTCTTCCATAGGAATGTGACCCTCTTATGTGTGTGTATATACGGTACATAAAAATATAAGTTATATTATACAGGAGTGACATTACCGCTCTCCAGATATATTATACAGGGGTGACATTACCGCTCTCCAGATATATTATACAGGAGTGACATCACCGCACTCCAGATATAATATATATTATACAGGAGTGACATTACTGCCCTCCAGATAGAAATACACTATATTGCCAAAAGGATTGGGACGCTGGCCTTTATACGCACATGAACTTTAATGGCATCCCAGTCTTAGGCCCCATTCATACTGAGCGGGTTGCCGCTCCAAAATCGCGCATATTGCCACGCGATATCGCGAGAACTCACTCGTCCAATGATTTTCAATGGAGCTGTTCTATTCTACAGCTCAATGTCGCCTGTCGCTCAGTGCTTGTGAAGGACCCTTTTTGCCACGGATATCGCGTGATTTTGCTCCATTTGCATGCAGCCCAATAGTGAATCGTCGCCCGAAAAGTCGCGCTATATCGATCGCGTGGAAATCCGCTCCAGGTACATGTCACTCAGTGTGAATGGGGCCTTAGTCCGTAGGGTTCAATATTGAGTTGGCTCCACCCTTTGCCGCTATAACAGCTTCAACTCTTCTGGGAAGGTGTCCACAAGGTTTAGGAGTGTGTCTATGGGAATGTTGGACCATTTGTGAGGTCAGGTACTGATGTTGGAGGAGAAGGCCGGGCTCGCAGTCTCCGCTCTAATTCATCCCAAAGGTGTTCTATCGGGTTGAGGTCAGGACTCTGTGCAGGCCAGTCAAGTTCCTCCACCCCAAACTCGCTCATCCATGTCTTTATGGACCTTGCTTTGTGCACTGGTGCGCAGTCATGTTGGAACAGGAAGGGGCCATCCCCAAACTGTTCCCACAAAGTTGGGAGCATGAAATTGTCCAAAATGTCTTGGTATGCTGATGCCTTAAGAGTTCCCTTCACTGGAACTAAGGGGCCAAGCCCAACCCCTGAAAAACAACCCCACACCATAATCCCCCCTCCACCAAACTTTACACTTGGCACAATGCAGTCAGGCAAGTACCGTTCTCCTGGCAACCGCCAAACCCAGACACGCCCATCGGATTGCCAGACAGAGAAGCGTGATTGGTCACTCCAGAGAACACGCCTCCACTTCTCTAGAGTCCAGTGGCGGCGCGCTTTACACCACGGCATCCCACGCTTTGCATTGCACTTGGTGATGTAAGGCTTGGATGCAGCTGCTCGGCCATGGAAACCCATTCCATGAAGCTCTCTACGCACTGTTGTTGTGCCAATCTGAAGGTCACACCAAGTTTGGAGGTCTGTAGCTATTGACTCTGCAGACAGCTGGCGACTTCTGCGTACTGTGCGCTTCACCATGCGCAGACCCCGCTCTGTCATGTTACGTGGCCTACCACTTCGTGGCTGAGTTGCTGTTGTTCCCAGTTGCTTCCACTTTGTTATAATACCAGTGACAGGTGACCGCGGAATATTTAGTAGCCAGGAAATGTCACGGATGGACTTATTGCACAGGTCACAACCTATCACGGTACCACGCTTGTAGTCACTGAGCTCCTGAGAGCTCCCCATGCTTTCACAAATGTTTGTAGAAGCGTCTGCATGCCGAGGTGCGTGATTTTATACACCTGTGGCCATGGAGGGGATTGGAACACCTGAACCCAATGATTTGGAGGGGTGTCCCAATACTTTTGGCAATATAGTGTGTATTATACAGGAGTGACATCACCGCTTTCCAGATAGAAGTTATATTATACGGGAGTGACATTTCTGTTCCTATCTCTCGGCAGTAAAGTTCCGGGTTACATACAGGTGAAACTCGAATAATTAGAATATCGTGCAAAAGTAATGGCAGTAATTGCTGCAAAAGGGGCCCAAACCAAGTACTGAGTACATATGCATGCTTGTACTTTTCAGAGGTCCGATATTGTTCTATGTACAATCCTTGTTTTATTGATTGCATGTAATAATCTACTTTTTTGAGGTTGTGGATTTGGGGTTCTTGGGGTTTTCATGAGCTGTAAGCCATAATCATCACAATTATGACAAATCACGGCTTGAACTATCTTGCTTTGCATGTAATGAGTTTATCTCATATATTAGTTTCACCTTTTAAGTTGCATTAGTGAAATAAATGAACTTTGCACAATATTCTAATTATTCAAGTTTCACCTGTACATCACACGAGGAGTGTAAACCACGATTGCATGTTATAGTCAGAAATCTTCAGGTCAAGCATCCATTTATAATGAATATCCTGCTGGGTCTAATCTGAGGACTTCAATCAGCCGGCCTCCATAAAGAGCGGGATGCGGCACAGAAGAATTTACAGCCAAGCCCCCCC